CGGATTAACGGTAATTACACTGAACCTTATGGGGAAATTTCCTTCGGGTTGCAACCAATTCAGGGTGCGACCAGGGTCACGGAATGAATTAAGTTTGTAAACCGAGGTTCCACTGTAATGTTTTAAAAATTGAGATATAAAAGGAAACTATGACAAAACTCCATTACAACTTCTGAAGTAGGCACATTAAAAAAAAATGGAACCAGCAATATATTGGTTCCTGTACCATATTTTGTGGGTTGTTAGGAAGAAAATAAAGCCTAATTAGCTTATATGTTTTATAGTAAATTGCAGCCAGATGGTTTTGACAGCAGAGAGGGCTCAAATACACCACTACAGAATTACTAACCCTATAAATGTTGAGAGGACATGAAGAGGTTTGTTTTCTAAAAAACATTTTATAATTATTTAAACAGCTATCGAAGTGCACAGCAACTCCATTAGCACAGGAAGATTAAAATAAGTCTGCTCCAAATAAGACATTACATTTCACTTAAAAAGCTACCATTATAAACAAATACCAATTGCCATATATAAATATTTTGGAACATACTTCAATAATTTTTTGCGGTAGAGAAATGTTGTATTTCTGTAGTTTTTCCCAGTAAGATGTCAATAACTGAAAGATATCACATGCTGCCTGTGCAATCTGCTTGTTAGAAAACTGCAAAAATGAAAAACAAATTAATGAGAAATAAAGGACAAAGAGCATCATAAGCAGACTGCTATGTTTCTAAAATGTTCTTTCTCAGTCTCTATAATTACATAAATTCCCAAATGTGGGATCTATCCATCATCCATATACACATGTTGGAGGTAACATTAAATTGGCCTGTGTATACTACGTAACTTTATATCCAATGTAAATGATGCTACAATCTCATCAACCTCCCTTGATTTACCTCCATAATTCAGGCCAGCTACATCAGCTTTCCCTTAAGAAGGGATGGGGTTAACAATTCTCAAGACAGTTGTTTGATCCCTCCTAGCAGAATGTTATGCTAAACCTATTCTAAAATTAATTATTTGCTAAGAAAAAGAAATTTCACTTTCAAAGATGGTAAGAAAGTTTTTTGCTTTGTTTTTAATTTAGTTGAGTAATTTCAAACTTACTGCAAACTTACATATAGAAAATAAAAGGTGTAGAATGCGAAAAATGCAAATCAGGCTATTATTTCAATACAATTACATGGGACATTTCCTTTTCCTATAACTCAGCAAATAATTATATAAGATTCCAGGTGCATCATTCCAATGCAGCCCTTCATATGTTTTATGAAATGGGCCCTCTATAAAAGCTTGTATTGTAACAGCTTTGTTTAGATATCACAAGACTTGTTGCTCTAAAAGCTTACTGTGGGTATACCTTGGGAAAGTAAACAATCTACAAATAAATAACTCACTGTCTCAAATATATGGCAAATGTTTCTATCTGATATTTTCAAAAATAGGATAATAGACCAAACAAGTGAGCCTTCTGAATAACTTAACAAAATATGCTTAGCATCTGAATACTCTTTGAGGTCAGCCCACACAGTTCTGTACAGTCAAAATAATTTGCGATATTTGTACCTTTAGTGTCACACCAAAAACATTTATTGCATCTTTTACTTGAGGATGGTTTGTACAGTGTTCAAGTTCTTCACATATCCAAAGTCCAAGACAGCAGAGGGCTAAACACCTTAAGAAAAAAAGTTTAATCTGGTAAGTCACAAAGTCTTCTATATTTTTCAGTGCTAGTAGTGTCTTCAACTGAATTATAATCAACAATGCACAAGGTTCAGATTGCCACTGCTTTAGAGTAATCAGTTTTTTTCATTTTAGTGCTAAATGCAAGCCCTACTAATGTTTCTGTCATAAAACTGACGCTTGGTCTTTTGCCTAAGTTGTATTCATTTTTTATGTTTATACTTTAGCTCTGCAATGTGAAGGGCCTTCTTATACATGTAAAGAGTTATAATTATTTTTTGCCCTCTTCTGTGGACCATTGGCTTTACTTTTTTCCTTACATATCTATACTTTAGTTGAAGCTGAAATAATTTTTATCCTGGACAGGCAGACATGTCATTCTTTCACCAATATTTATTCTTTAATTATATTTTGTAGTAGTTTCTGTTTCATTCATGATTTTACCTTGAAGTTTCACTTGGTTCATCTGTGGCATTCTTCAAAAGAATATTTATGAGGCAAAACTAGAACAAAAAAAATTACAATAATAAAATGTTTTCTTCTGACAGACATATTGCAGATTTTTGCTCATTTCTCAATAAGATTAAATAATAAAACTTGGATAGGACAAAGTAAATAAGGTTAATAAACCCATTGGGCACTTCATAAATCAACAAGACACTACATAAATCAACAACAGTATATCTCGCCAATTCTGAAAAGTACTACTTAATAAATAATGTCAAAATGGAGGAAATACTATTCAGCTCAGATTTGTTCTACTTAAAACATGCTAACATTTTGTTTGTGGGGAGATGGCAACATTTCTCTGTAATCATTACTTGTGTGGTTCTTAGTGTTCATGATTAGCAAATGACCCTCAAATAGTGTGTCTGACTTCACTGCAGCTATCCTTTCCCTGCAGAGATGTAAACGCTTCTGACAGCTACTAAGAGTTTAATTCTTTAAAGGTACTTTTTTCAAATTTGGGGATACATAAGTATTATCCATAGGAACTTCATTACACCTATTATAAATCACTTAACACAGATTTTTTAAATACCATTTCCCTAAGGAATCCTATGTTCAGGGAAAAGTAGAACTTCCAGGTAGATACAGCATGGTGCTACCAAATAAGTACATTGTGCAGCTCTTTTAGAGGTCTTCCACTTTTTCAGTTCCATGGATAAACTTAAAATTTTGATACTGTGGTATCAGCAATTTCACAAAAGGATTGCCACACGAAAATATCATATACCAGAAAGCCAACAAAGCATCAGTGTATCCATCCACCATTTTATTTTCTAAGAATGGTACCCAGCAGCATTATTGGCCATAAAGTTATGCTGGAAGCTTATGCTTTATACAGCTGTGCAAAACTTTAGAATGTGTGGGAGTATTAATGAAACGTCTCTGTCATATTGTTAAACTTGGCTGTATCAAGAAAAACTGTCCCCTCCAAAACAAAAGGGCTGTGCATATATACACATGCAAAGGTAAGTCAATATGTGAATGAGGCAGAGCAGCTGCTTGATTAAAGCTTTGTCTGGAAGTGCTCTCTCTGGGCATCTCTCTGCTCATGCCAGTTTAACTTTAATCTGGCTTAAGAAAATCCTGTCCAGACTGAGATGCTATGGCAACAGTGTGCAAGCTATTTAGTCTGAATCACAGGCATCCATATACTTCCTTATGTTGTTCCCCTGTTGCTGCGCTCTCCCATCTTTCTGTTCCAGGAAAGCAATGGCCAATTGCTTTCCTCTTTGTGGACAGATCTTCCTGGACAAACACAAACACATTTAAGTATGTAGGTATGTAAATATATTTATATGATTGTATATGTGAAGAAAGAGAAAGGGAGTGTATATGCACTGCTGAAGTAGGTACACACACACACATACATATACACACTATCCATCCATCCATCCATCCATCCATCCATCCATCCATCCATCCATCCATCCAGCTAAACTGAGTGTTAATTTATTATATTATTTACTTATTTAACTATAGACAAAATGTTGCTTTTTTGTCAGAATCTGGCAGAAATGAGTTTTTTTTACTCTTTCTTTCCTTGAGCTTCCTATTTTTCTGTTTTTAAAACACACACACACACACCCTCCCTCTAGTGGCACACTGTTTCATTATTTTTCCAGTCATCTGAAGTTAGAAGGATTTAACCTTCAGCTGCCAAATAACCCAAATAATTTGTAGGGCAGAAAAAAGTAATTTAAAAAATCCAAACATTTCTGCTGGATTTTGAACCAACAACTTCTGTTTACAAAGGAAGAACTATAACCACTGTACCGTTACAGCACTCGTAGTAAAAAGGTAGCTTTAAAATGTTTTAAAGAAGATGGCAAGCGTTGACACTGAACTGCTGGGGTGAGCCTACAACAAACTGAACCATGCTGTCCCAAAAAGGCAGGAGATGGAGACATAACATGAGATGTATGTTTGGTACATTGGTGAAGGTGCCGGCCTAGAAAGCAGGAGACTCTGAGTTCTAGGCCTACCTGAGGCATGAAAGCTGGCTGGGTGACTCTGGGCCAGTCACTTTCCCTCAGCCCAACCCACCTCACAGGGTTGTTTTTGTGAGGAATGGTGACTTTGGGCCAGTCATTCTCTCTTACCCCAACCCACTTCACAGGGCTGTTACTATGGGGAAAATAGGAGGGAGGAGTATTAGGTATGTTCACTGCCTTGAGTTGACTATATTTTGCCTACACACACACACATACAGTACACATACACACACATTCGTACATACAGGCAAGATAAAAATCTAATAATAGTAAGATGGAAAAGTGTACTCCAGAAATAAAGCAGAAGAAAATTTCCCTGAAGGCACTTTGACAGTGAGTGGGGGATTAACAGAAGGCAGCGTCATTGGTTTCTCCCCTTCAGGAACTGTTGCCAGCCTAATCTGGCAGTGGGGCAAGAGGACAGTGAGGATAAGCTCTTTGCTCAGTTACTGACTTCTCCCCAAATTTAATCACTCTCCTCCAAAAATACCTAGGTGAGGCCAATTTTTTCCTTTTAGATGAAAGAGCCTGGGACAGGAAAAACCAATTTCTGAATCCTATCAAATAAAAATGAGCACTAAGTCTTAATATAATATTGTTGCATCACCAACATGTGGTGGAAGTATTCACGCTGTTTAGCAAAAAGAGTTACCAATCCTGTCGATAAAACATTCTGCTGCTCCCCTATTTCTGTATAGAACATTGAAACCTTCATTTTGCCTGATAACAGTTCTTTGGGAAGATAAAACTGGGTTTAGAATTCCTGCAGAAAAACCGAGACTGATGGGTAACTTTGGCTTGACAACTGCAGAAAAAAGGGCCCTTGGTGAATTAACACAGCTTATCTCTAGGATTTCCTAATCACTCTGGTAATACATGAAATGACAGGAAAGCAGAGAGTAAGTCTGAAAGAATGAGGAACGGACACATATTTTCTCCATCCTTTCCTTCATCAGGGAGTCAAGCCTGAGTTTAAGACCTCTTAAATAGTGGTAATTACCATTTCTAGTGGCAAAGAATTCCTCTATACACGTTAACTATATATTATTTCAAGAAATATTTATTTTATTCATCCTGCAATTTCATATACTATATTTATCGGTGTATAACACGCACCTTTGTCCTTAAAATTTGGGGCTGAAATCCTAGCTGCGTGTTATACGCCGATACTCAAGCGCCAGGGCTGGGAGAGTGGCGCCTTCATTTGAGCCAGGGCTATAACAGGGCAAGCTCTGGAGGTGAGAAGCAGGCGAGCGAGCAAAAACTGCCACTCCCCAGCACTTGCGCGAGTGAAAATCGCCACTCCCCATCTCGTGCCAGCGAAAACTGCACTCCCCAGTGCTCGCATGAGCAAAAACCATGCTCCCCAGTGCTGGTTTTTGCTCATGCGAGCGCTGGGAAGCAGAGTTTTCGCTCACTTGCCCGTTGCTCACCTCCTGGTCTGTGGAACCCAGGTGCTCGTGTGAGAGATGGAGAGCGCCCGTTTTCTTCCTTCAAAGAGGTGCTTTTTCTTTCATTTTACGTATTTACCTTATAAGTGGTATAAATATTAATAAACAGAAAGTTCAGAGCTCCCTTTATTATGCTTCCAAGTCATTTATTTTGAATTTAGGTTTTTTTACTCAAACTTCCTTCTTAAAATTAAGGTGCATGTTATACACCTGTGTGTGTTATAGGCCGATAAATACGGTAATTAGTTTCAGTGGATAAAATTGAATGCTGAAGGATATACACAAAAACATTCTTCTGTAATTTTTTCCATACTATTTATGATTTGTTCTATCTCTAGGATGGTTTTTTTTAACCTGCTTTCATTCCCAAGAAGCCTCAAATTCTTTGGTGTTTCTTCACAGGGGAGCTGCTTCAGTCCCTTAATAGTTTTGGTTTCCTTTCATCCATGTTCTCCAGCTCTAAAATATTCTTTTTGTGGCTACCCTGGTTCTAGATTACTGGTGAACTGTTTATTATCTGTGCATTTTTATGGTAAATGAGTTGTCTTTAGGTCTGAATCCTTTTTGACCTCACCACAAATAGGTTTAAAATTGTTGTCTTTTCTATGTCATCTAAAAGTAAGAGAACAGCACAAGTGGGATTTGCATAGAGCCCTAACTATATTAAATGCACCACTAGTTTCAGGAAGACAGCCTGGCTGCCTGTTATCATATAGATCAGCTCACAAAGAAAAAAAATTACTTTGACATCTGCAGTTCCTGTTGTGATTTCTGCTTCAGCAACAGATGGTAACAATGAGATGTCTTGGTAAATATTAGGAAAGCAAATCAGAGATCCAAGAATAGTATTTGCTTCTAAGCGGGGAGCCTATAACAAATAAACAAACAAATGCATATGTTTATTATCAAAAAACTGTAGATTCTGGTAATATCAAAACCCATTTTAGGACAGTAGTATTTGGGCCAATCCACATCCTGACTTGTCGTCAATTATCATTCTCCAAAAGGACCTCCCAACAATAAGCAGCTGTAACATGCACTTAACTGGTTTTGGGGGCAAAGGACACAAGGACAGTATGAAGAATAAATTTATGCACACTGTTTCACACTGCTGCAATTATTCACATGCACTAAAATAATAATCAAGGAAACAAAGTTGCATCTATGAAAATTAAACTTCTTGATGTTCTATGCTTAATTATACTAAATTAAGTATAGGGATGACCAGGGTTTATACTTTTTTTGGAAGAATTTTTCAGGGAGAGTTTGGGAGTTTATAATGGTTTATTTGTTAAATCTTTGTTAAGTCTGGTCCACAGCTTAACACTACTGTAAAGCATTTATGTATTTCTCATCTCAAAATGGCAAGAATTTTGATAGTATGACTACAAAAGCTTCCAGAGGCGACAAAATGAGGAATTGGGGGCCACAAATTCCTTTCCTTTGAACATTTTCTACAACAGTCAATGTACCATAGAGAGAAGAATCCACAATTTCCATGTGCAGTTTTGATTCCATTTCATTCCTACATCAACTTTCTGCTTCTCTAAGGAAATTCTGATGTAGAGACTTGGTTTGTGTTTAAAAACAAACAAACAAACAAACCTCAGTAATTAACCAAATTCCTAATTACATGCTGGAATATTCAAGCTTGGCTTCTTGAAGGCACCTGCAGGACATTAAATTGAATTCCACTGCCAATTTGTGATGTTATCCAGACACCTAGTACACACCTTTGCTACACAGCTTATGCTGTTCTAGTAAGCCACTGATTACCCAGAGAAGCAATTCAGGGAGCAAATGTAATTGTTAGGGAAGAAAAAAAAATTGTTACCACAAAATAACTTTCAAATGTGCAATTTCTGAATTCCTTATATGTTTGACTAAATTGCATAAGAAGCCAGCTACAGAAGAAAAGAAAGTATTTGTTTTTCCTTTAAATGGCATTTTTCATCAAAATTATATAACATTTCCAGATTTTTTTCTGCTACTGCAAAAGGTTAGACCTGCAAATATTAGATAGACTACACAAATTGCCCTCATTTTATTTTTGACAATTTCTCTCTTCATCAATGTACTATACAAGTCATTCATTTCTGATGAGATCAGAAATTAAAACAACATAAAAATGAATGAAAAATGAGAAAAATATTCAGATCTTAATCAATTGAACTTTCATTTCTTTTCATAACTAAAACAAATGAAATACAGAAAGCTTATTTGTTCAGTTTACATTCATTTTCAACAAGACTGTATTTCCTGGCATTTAGAAATAGTGAAATTCAGCTTAACATTATCTAATAAAAACATCCTATTTCAACAACATGAGTTCTGGCTTGGTTGATTAGTGCAACTGGGAATGAGAAATACTTAACAAGATATTACTTCATGTTGTCAATCAGAACAGAGGTATCCTAATGAAAAGTATACTGCCAGCTTGAGATGTTTGGCAAGTTCTTATTTGAAAAAAATCATATATCAGTCTGCTCCAATGTCACACTGCACTAAAGAGTCAATACTGGTTAAGAGTAGGGAAATCTGCCCATTGCTAACAATCATACACTTTTGCAGGAATAAGACAACTGAACATCGACATACTTACCTCCAACATGTTTGTACTCAGAACTCTGGTTGCAGCTGTTACGAAGTCTCTTATTAGCAATGTAAAGCCAGGTAAGCCCAAGAAGAAAAAGAATGGGGAGCAGTGTTTTATGATAGTGTTTAAAACATCCTGAAAAGGGGAAAAAATGAAATGTGTGAATAAGCCAAGTTTTTTTTTCATTTGATATTAAAATCAGTATCTTGTTCTTATGCAATAGATCATAGGAGGAAGATGATGCTCTAGTCCATGAGGACAAATGTATTGCAGAAAACTGAACTTTTTGATACAACTGGCTGTTATGCGCAGGTTGGGGATGGGGAGGTGGGGGAATCTTCATTCTGGAATCGGTCACAGGAAATATAAAATATAGAGACATAATGCCTACTTTGAAGTAAGTATATGTCAATATTAAGAGTGATCCTCCCAGTATTCATATATGACTTTTAAAATACACACATGCACGCACATGCCCACACTCCTTTCAAAATAACATATTGCCTGTGGAAATATCACCAATATAAACCTCAACAAATAGGTATGTTTATGAACATTCCACTCATGTTGAATGTACTAACATAGGGAAGAGACAACCCTAGCTGGCAATATTTTTCTCATGTTCTTCTATCTCAGGTTGGTAGAGGAGATCTGTAGACAGAAAATCCATAATAGCCACCCATCCTTGTCTACAAAACTACAGTTGTAAACAAGCTTTTTGCCAAATTTTAAATCTGTACTCCTCAAAAGTTGTAAAGCTACATCTGTACTCATGAAAGAACAACAAAAATAGTAACATGATGTGGCAGTGAACAGAGATAACATTTAAACTATGGACACCAGCAGTGAAATACATTCATTATAGGTTATAAGAGCCATTGCTCCAGAACAGGCTACAATCTTACAGCACTGACCATTTTAAAAAATGCATCCTGAAAGGTAAAAAATCAAGAGGGGTCTGGTAGCACCTTTTCTGTTTAACTAATTTTATTAAAAAGCAAAAGCTCTGAACTGCAGCTCAGTTCATCAGAGGCAAAGGTGCATTCTGTGCCTCTGATGGCATGAGTTCCAGCTCACAAAAGCTTATGCCTTTTAATAAAATTAGTTAATAAGGTGCTACCAGACTATTTTTTTTTTTGCCCCCATAGATTAACACAGCTCTCCTATGTCTAAAACCTGAAAGGCAGTGTTACCTCCAGCTTCTGTCACAAATGGAGAGCTACAGATGACTTGTGACATGTGTTATGACATATAAATGGAAATGCAGAAATGCATATGGCTTTTCCAACTCTGCCTGCTTTTCTCACAATCAGAATACTATGTCTTGGTATATTGCACTAAATTTTAATTATTTGGGTTTGCTGCATAGAAAGCTGATGAGATCCTGCTTCAGCGAGAGTGATTATTAGAAGCAATCTAATAATCTGGCTGTACAAGAATTTTTTCCACTTCTGTTCTGCCTTTCTGCTATAACCATCCTCAAGGCAAGTTCCTGACAGAAGGAACAATTTAAAATGGAAATGGAGTGTTACTTCCTTTTACTCTATAGGTGAAAGAAAATAACAACGTACTGTATTAGACAAAAAAGTAGGCAGCAAAGTAGACAGGAGGTTAACCCCATAGTTTAACCTTCACATGAAAATAATTTAAATCAAATAAAAAAATTAAATAAACAGTTCTCTCCATTCTTCCTCATGCTCTATGTTATACTTCTACTGAGGATTTGTTAAAGCCCTACAGTTTTGTGCTTTTCCCCCTTAATAAGTCTGATATTCAGGAAATATTAGATCAAAACTGCTACTCCATATAACTAAAACTTTACAGTTTTATGCACTGATAGTCAACGTGAAACATTTTTCACAAATATTGACTAAAAAGTAAATAAATGTTAGCATCACAACACACAGCATTTCCCTGTTGAAACATCACTTCAGTTAATGTTCAAACTGGTTTTAATCACTTCCCGTGTTACATTTTAAAGGCTCTATCAGTCAATGCAAACATTCTAAAAGAATGAGCAGATGGAGGCTGGAGTCATGAAGTGGCTGGTAAACTCCTGTTCTGAAGGCAGAACAAAAGACCCACCTTTCCCATAATTACTGGACTGATTAATGCATTGCGTTTTTCTCACAGCACACCTGTAATTATTGAGAGGTAAGCATTATGCTGTGTGCCTAGTGTCTGAACCAGCTCTATAGCAGCAGATGGGGCTACATCTCTGTTGACATATGCTACAATAAAATGACTCATGAATCTTGGCATGAAAGGCAGAGTGCAGCATTTTTAAAGATTAATAAATTCTAACTGTTAATCTTGCTGGCTTTTTTCATTAAAGCCATGTGTCCAATAAAATGATTCCAGAGAATTTTTCAAGAAGAGGCTGAAGCCACATTGCATGAATGGACTAAAAACCTCACTTTGTCTCTAAAGTGAGAGGTGATTGGGTTTGAACCCTTTGGGGGTCTAAAGGGACAAAGGGCACAGTCGACTATAAAGTTATCCTATGCAAGTCTTAATGAAATGAATGGAACCTGGGCAAAAACACTCATGGCAAATTGCAGCAGGTTATTTCTATAGCTGAATCCAGTTATCATCTAGGCTGTGTCTGTTTAAAATCATTAATTGGCAACAAAAAGAGATATACATTATTTTAAAAACAAATCATAATGAAGTCTTGTAAGTTTTGATTTTTATGATTCAGTATATTTGCTTTCTTGAATTGCAGTATTTGTTAGTTGCATTGAACATGATAATAGAACAGATTATATAAAATTTAACAACAACAAAACCACTTGGAAAGCTTGCTTCTGGCTCAAGCAATCTCCTCAACATCTCTTTTCTTTGAAATTAAACTGAAGGACCAAATATTAAGAACATGAATAGTATTCAGTACCAATGTAGTGGAAGCACATTACTGCTGATATAAGCAAATCAGTTAAGTCATAAGGGTGTCACAGGATCTCATACATATTTGTTGCTCATTTGTTCAGTTACCTCAGATTCTTCATGACTGGACAAGCATCAATAATCTAGTTTTGTCTGTGAGTAACTGCTTGGGTTCTTGCAAGCTCATGTTTGTTTCATCAGTGATCGTTTTTAACCACTTTGTCTTCTGTCAAGCTCTTTCAATTGCTGTTGATTTTTACAAGCATCAGGGTCATCTTCAATCACTCGTTTTCACATTATGTGTCCAAAATACTTAAGCTTTAGCTCCAGTATTCATGCTTCCAGTGAATACTTTGCTTTTATTTCATTTAGTATTAAATTATTTGTTCATTTTATAATCCAAGGTATTCTCAACATTTTTTTCCAGCACCACAATCCATTAGGAAGGTTTTATTTTGGACTTTATGTTACCATTTGCACAGAGAAATATGTATAAAGAACTATGTGAATAGTGAATCCAATTTATAAAAATACCCCCAGGGCTTACATCTCCCTTGCATTTGCATTCAATAACATAGAAGCACTGCCTCAAAAAAGCAAATGATGATAAAGGGAAAATACAATGGTGCTTAAAGGTTTATGAACCCTTTGGAATTTTCAGTATTTCTGTATATATGTGACAATGTTTTTGACTCATCTGTTTAATTGGGTTCTCTTTATCTAGTTTTAGGACTTAAGTGGCCAATAGATCACGTTTTAGGTCATATTTATGCAGAAATATTGAACATTCAAAAGGGATCACCAACTTTTACGCAACAGTGTATATGCTTGGAAGCTTTTATATTACATTATATATTAAAAAGCTGAAAGAAATAAATTTAAAAATAAGTCACACTTAATTCAGTAGGACTTATCCTTGATACAACTCAAACAAAGATATAGTACTGAAACCAGTGGCATTCTCATTGATCTCCTCTTCAAGGTAGAACTACAGCTGGTTTAGAGGGAGCAGGGCATTACTGCTTGAAAGCTTGATCTCTCTTTATGGAAGATGCCCTTAGATATGCTCCCTCTAGGATACAGAGAAATATTCTTCTGAGACTGGATGATCAGCTAAATCACTGATCGAATCCAGAGAGTATAGGAAGCAGAGAATTCAAATCCAGAAAATGGTTAGGTGAACTAATGCTAGCTTAGACAAACACAGGTTCTTGTGATTGAAGATTTATTCAGGAATAAGAGCTTACTCATGAGTATAAATTGTACAAGAACCTCTCCAAAGTCTCTGAGAACTCAGACACCTGATCATTGGAAATTATGTCTTATTCAGAACAACTACTTTTGAACAAACTTGAAAAATAGCTGTCTATAACACCAACTGAATAGCCATGTCTAATCTTGTCCATTATACTGTAATAATTACTGCCTTGTTTATAACACTGGATTCATCTATTGGAAAGTACCTTAATTTTTCTTCTATGATACATATGGTATATTTTTAAATGACAACAGGCCTTTAACGACTCCTCTGAATTCTTTCCAAACTGTCTGCAACATTTAGTAACTTAAAATGAAAAATAAAAATCCCAGCTACTTGTCACAAATATAGGGTCCCATTATGTCCTGCTTTATATTTATCTTGTTACCTTTCCATTCAGTTATCTCTAATTTTGTTTTTTAAATATAATTGTCAATGCTTCCTTGAACAACTTTCTCCAATCTGGTGCCAGTTATCTTGGATTTCATTTCCCATAATGCTGACTGAGGAGCACAAGGTTGGATAAGCCAAAACAAAATCTGCTCTGTTGTCAAAGTTAAACATTAGAGAGAAGTAAACTATAACTGTACTTTTGCTACATTTTCCATAGCAGTATGATGTCAAGTAGAAAAACAATTCAAGCAATCATGGGAAAACCACAGTAGCTAACAAATCCTATAAGAAAATTTCTTAGCATTCATCTACCTGGAAAAATCAACACAAGAATATAATTTAAGACAAACATGTTACTGAAATATTCTTACAATAATCAAAGCAAGTGAAATGAAACCACAAAAAGAATTGAAAATCAGATGTAGCCAATCACTTTCAGGAGAGTTTGATAAATACCTACTTGGAAGTTACACACAGTGAAATAAGCTGGGCTTAACAGAAAAGAAGTATCTATACATTTTAGTTTTAATATGTAATATTAATGGTTGACAAATATTTATACAGAGACTGTACTAATATGATCAACCTTTAAAAAAAA